TATATATATATATATATATATATATATATATATGGCTTACAGTGCAACGAGTGCAGCAGCACGTGAAAAAATACGACGCTTGGAGCTCTGCTTGTCTCTCGGCGTGACACGTCATGAGTTCAATGTACGAGATCTACTGGTGGTAGTGGTGGTTTACATATCCGTTTATATCGATATTGAGACAGACATGCGACATACCGTGAGTTCGTCGCCCACGGCCACGTCACGAATCGCTCGAATGGACAATTGACGCTTGTGAAACACCAGGATGCAGTTGGGCGCACACGAATGGTTGAGCAGCGCGGCGTCTGGAAACATTCCAATGCCCACAGGAACCTGCTCGGGCGTGCACACGGTGAACGCGTTGCAATTGAGCTGGCCGAACACCGTCATGACGCTCTCCAGGGAAGGAACTGGGGTCTTTAGTTGCATGCGAGTCATGATGGACAAGACCAACATGCCCATGGCGCGGTAGTCGTCGAGTTTGTTGGCGGTGTGGTTGTCCAAGTGCGACACGAGGTGCTGCACGGCAGCCATCGACGCTTCGGACCGAAGCAAACGAATGACCAACAGCAGCGTGGGGGTCATGGGGTTGGCCTGCAAGTGTTTTGCGAGGTAGGTGCACTCGACGGCGTGCACCTTCCAGTCGGCAAGTTGACATGGGCGACTACAGTAATGCAAGATTTTGCACAGACCACATCGTCTGGCACCGGGTGCAAAGCAGTAGGCACATGTAGATGCCATGTCCAGCGGCACTGCAGCGGTTGGGTCGCACCGTACCACGCATGCGCCAGCTCGAATGGACGTTGTCGCGACGGCAGCACTGCCTCGACCATCAAGTTGGCGCCGTTGATACATATCACTTTATCCGGAGGGTTGTACCATCCGGAAAAAATGTCCATTGCAAGTGAGCATTTTTATACTCGTATATCTTGCTGTTTGTAGGGGCATTCCGAGTTTAGAATTTTATTTTCAACGGGTGGGATCCTGCCTCGATGTTTTAATTTGATTGGATAAATGTAGGCAAAATTCGGCGACGCCTTTAAAATATCGAAGCTCTGCAGCCTCGTCCGGATTTATCCGGATACTTTCGTGCGACGAACCAGTTGGTTCAACTCGATCTTTTGCCCGCAACATGACAAGCGCAGTGCTGGGGTATGTCGGCATCATGATGTCCGTCGTGTTCTTCGGGACAACTTATGTCCCCGCGAAGCAGTACCCGACGTATGACGGCATGGTCTTCCAGTGGTATATGGTACGATCATGCATAGGATCATCCCCACTTCCTCAAAGATACCATCCCCCTCACGTGATGTCATACTATGTGTAGTGTTCTGGGATCTTGGCAGTGGGGCTGTTCTGGGGGCTCCTGAGCAACCAGTGGGATCACTTTGCCGAGCAAGGTAGTCGATCATTTTTTCCCACTCATCAAGTGATGTATGACTGATGCACGTACATTCAGGGATGTACATGTTTCCCCAAGGGTTGCTCGGGGGGTGCTTGTTTGCACTGGCAAACGTGCTCATTCCGACGGTCGTCAACACCCTTGGACTGGGGGTGGGGTTTATGTTGTGGAACGGCGCCAACATCACCATGGGATACCTTGTGTCTCGCTTTGGTGGGTCCGCCCTTCCCTGTCGTATGTCGTACGTCTAACTCTTGGTCTAGGCCTCTTTGGCGTGCATCCCACGGTCCCCACACACCCGTGGCTCAGTGCGCTCGGCATCGTCTTCATGCTGGCATCCATCGTGGTGTACGGTATGGTCCAGCCCAAACTGTCGAACCATGTATCGCAGTTGACCTCGGCGACGCGCTCGTCCACCGACCCGCTTGTCGACGTGACCACTGTGGACGAAACCACGCCGCTCAAGCACAAAGACCACTCTCCCGCGTCCAGCAGCGACTCGATTCTCGACCTGGATTTGAACGCCATGGCCAACGAAAACCTCACCGAGTCGTTCATCCATCCCGAATTGCCCAACTATGGTTGGACACTACTTCTCTCTCTCCTGTCTCACACGATCCATCTCTTCCTAGGTCCATTCTCGCTCCCCGCCGAAGTTCCGCAGCATGTGGCGATCGCCAACGCCGAAGACGAACGCAAGCGGAAGTACATTGGCGTCGCCTTGGCCATCCTCCTTGGCGGCATTCTCGGCAACTGCCTCACGCCATACGTGCTGTGGCAACAAAGCTGCACGGCCGCGGGCGGATGCAACCCGCTCAACTTTTTATTTTCGCAATGCATGGGCATCTACGTCACGTCCACCGTGTGCTTTTTGATCTACGCGTCGTTCTTCCGATACCACAAGCGCAGCATGCCGCGCAGTGCCATGCGGCCGGCCTACGTGTCTGGTACGTATCGTGTTGTTTTAATCGATTGTTTCGAGTTCTTTAAATCATGGAGTGTTCTTTTAATGGACGACAAAATGCAACCTCGATAGTGTTGGATGCAGTCCTTTTTGAATGGTGCGGTACTTTTGAATGGCTTGATAATACATTGTTATATTCTTTTCATGGCTTGATCCGGTTCGTTTAATGAATTCTTTTAATAACTTGGAGTTCTTTTAATCGAATGAATAGGTCTGCTGTGGGCCACGGGTCTCGCGGGACAGCTCTTGAGCGCGGGCAACTTGGGGTTTGACTTGGTGTACCCTTTGACGTCGATTGGGCCAGCGATGGTGTCGATGCTGTGGAGCGCCATCTACTTCAAGGAGATTGAAGGCAAGCGCAACATGTCTATCATGGCCCTCGGTACGGCCATGATCTTCACGGGCACGCTTCTCCGCGCCGTCGCCGCCTAAGTGTCGATGGGTTGATTGTGTCGCTTACAAGTGTTTGTGGACGAAGGCGCCAGCCACCGTTGAATTCACTTGAACTACTAATACTATATCGTTCGTTCATGTAGTAGTACTATGTAGTAGTTGTTACTCTCTACGACTATCAGTTATTACACTCCAAGTATTCATACATACTACTAGTATTGATATTGATAACTATAGTTAGTATGAACAATCGGATATTACGTAGTTACAACAATACAGTCTGACCAAAAAAGAAGCACCCCGATTTTTCGAGTTCGGGTTGGTGTATTTCGACTATAAGTCGATATCATGGCTAAATTTATATTGCAATCCCATATCCGCATTGGCAACTATTCTGAAGCAGTATGTTGAGAAGTCAATATTATTTCAAAAATAGGACTGACGAAATACTATAGACGCATTTGCAATTGCACAGCTATTAATCAATGCACTTACCACGACGCAGGATTACTTGAGCCATACGTGTTAGCATAATTCCTTCAACTACTATACGTACTCGTGGTCGATTTCGATCAAATGATGCAAAGCCGCTAATAAATACTACTGTAGTACTACTACGTAGTACTCCGGAGTTATGAAACCCAAACGCACCCAAGAAGTTTTTAGCCAATCCGATTGCAGGATACCATCATCACCATGTAATTCGTGTGTGCCTTCAAATTAGTGTGTGATTCCAATCGCCACACGATAACTAATTATGTACATAAATTTACAAGCTTCTGTGCAAAATATCGATGATTGATACATTTGGCGAATCAGGCCAAATGTTGGGTAAAACGACAATAACGTTACGACCTTGTACTTGTAGTAGTAGTTACTGGAGTGCGTTATAGTTGGACCCTGTGTTTTTAACTCTTAAAAGTGCGACGTGTGTGTCTATTCCTTGGTTACGTTGGTACTGTCGGTTGTTGGGTCGTCGTTGTTGTTTGTTGATGTGATGACGTATCTGCGACGATGTCGAGAGCGACTTCAACGTCTTCGGAAGGTTTGAGCCATTCCAGGTATTGCAAGTACACAAACAAGCACGCGGCCACGGTACATCCAAGGATTCCTGCCACGGGACCCATGCCATAGTACTTTCGAAAGCTATCCACAAAACCAACTATATTGTCAAATCCGTTCCAATCTGGTGGACTTTCGAATGAATTGGACACATGGATTTCAGAATGTCCAATCAAAAAAGTACGCAAACGAGAAATTCAACCAATCATTGATTAACGTTAGTATAGTTTTGGACCTGAAAAAAATACGGTTCATCTTCAAATGTGTACATCATCATACATAAGCTAAAAATCTGACTTAAATCGAGTATCGAAATTCGCTGCCAAGTCAAAATATTTCAGCGAAATGGACACAAATATCCCGTTGAGAAAGATGATTATGATACATTGGGAGGTATATTATTTACCGATGGATAAGGGGCGACTTGGGCAGCTGAATCACGTTGCGGTACACGCGCTCCGTGCGTTCTGCCACGTCATACCAGTTGTACATGGTCTCAACGCGATCGTGAAAGTCCGTCTTGTCCACCTACACATAATTCCCGTCCACATTATTGTCGAGAATATATATATATATATTATTATTATTCTCGACAAAAACGATATATATAAAAATATGATTTGGAGATTGTAGAGCATGCTCTCAATTAACGACCACTGGAAGACTACCAAAAATACCTCAGAAGGCCTACTCAGACCAATTTTTTATTCAATCTGACAGTGGAATTGAAAAATGTGTTGCTCTGTTTCAACAGCAAATTGCTGTCTGAAAATGTAAATTTCTGCGATTCTAAGGTTCTGGTACTCTGCGAAGACGAAAAAAACGTCTTCGCACATCTGAGGGTGTCTCGGATCGCACAAAAATCGGATCTGAAAATTGTCAGTGTACTGATCTGAGGAAATCGCAGATTCGAAATCTGAGGCAATTTTGGTAGTCCTCCACTGACATGGGTGGCACAATGTCAAACGTTGGGGAACCATGACGACAAAACACCCCCCACCCATAGACGCCATAAATATATATATATATATATTTATTCATGGCGTCTATGGGTTATATATATATATATACAAAACATTGACAAGCATCTGTACATTTTAACCGACTGGTCGTAAATCGCAAACGATTTTCGAATTGCAGTTTGTTGGTACAGTAAGTAGTGTATATCCCCCGACAGGACTATATATATATAAGAAACATCATACCTTGGCGAGAAGAGGGATGGACTCTACGACGGCATCGGCCAAGTCTTCTGGCGTGATGTCCTTGGAGAAGCGGATCATGTCTGGCGGCAGCACCTCGGGCACGCCCCCCACGCGGGTACTCACGACGAAGAGGCCACACGCGGCAGCTTCGAGGATGGCGATGCAAAATGACTCGGTGAGCGACGAGTTGAGAAAGATATGGCCCTGCGTGAGCACATGGCGCACGTGCTCGTGGGGCACGGCGCCCCACAGCGTCACGCGGTCGTGCAGCTGGCACTTTTCACGCATTTCCTCAAGGAGGAGGCGCTTGTTGCCGTCGCCGCCGATGAGGAACTTGACGTTCGGGCACCGCGCACACACGAGTTCAATCGTCTAGACAACATATTGACTTACCACGTTGACACACATAGGTGTACAACACGTGTGTTCTTGTGATAGAATGTACGTTCAATATATATATATATATATGGGAAGGAATAATACAAGAACGTGTGTTCTTGTGATAGAGTGCATGTGCAATATATATATATAGGATATATATATACATCCTATATAGAAAGGAAGAATAAAAGAATAGGTCGTCATGGCGGCCAAATGCAATAGGCATGCCAGCACATACACGACATGATAGGTGCCGTCGTTCACAAAAATCGAATGTAGTCGTTGTATATATGTGTTGTATATATATATGAGTACAAACAGGTACATGCATGCATGCAAATCATGAATGACACTGGAGCGAGGACAACTCATTGACGGACGTACTTTGCCCACGAGGTCGATGCCCTTTCGATACACGAGTCTCGAGATGATGACGACGGTGATGGGATCTCGAAGCGGGTCGAGCGGGGGCGATGGGGTCGCCGACGAAGATGGTGTGAACTTGGATGCGTCGACGGCGTTGGGGATGGTCGACACGATGGAAGGGTCCAAGGAGGCGCGGAGGACGAGGTTCTCCTTGCATGTGTGGGAGACGCAGATGGCGTGGTCGATGTCGGACAAGGTGAACTTCATGACCTGCGTCGTCCATCAATGGCAAGTAAGGAACGACGTAAAGGAAGGAACGTTCGTTACACCTTGTTGAGATGGATGGACGCGGCGTCGGCAAATCCAAAGAGGGAATGGTCAGTGTAGATCGCTTTGTAGCCCATGGTTTTCGCTTGCAGGATGCATTCGTGCATGAACGCCGACGTCGCTTGATGACCATGCACTATCTGGATGCGTTCGCGAATCAACACCGTGCGGAAGAGACCAAAGCCCCCCGCGAACGTCGGCAGCGTCACGTTGTCCACCATGGGCACCAGCGGCAGGTAGTACACCTTCAAGTTGTTGGTCATGTATCGAATGCCTTGGCGCTTGTTTGGCCCGTCTGTCTGATGGGTGATCACGATCACTTTGTGGCCTCGACGAATGAGACATTGCGATAAGCTCCATATGTGCATCTCTACGCCACCGAGACGGGGGTAGAAGAAGTCGCAGCACATCGCAATCCGCATTGGCTCGGTCGTCGTTGAGCCGCCAGTGCGGACGCCGCCGCCAATGTCAGGCATGGTAAAAACCTACAGCCGATCTCTTAACCCTTTTGGCGGCACGGTTGTAAACGCGAGATTCTTACTGCAAATAAGATAACTAAGATAAACTCAGATATAGGAACCGTTAAAATGTTTGATTCGTGGGAATTTCTCAATTTAACGTGTTTTCAGGGTCAAAATAACGCTAAACCGTGACAATAAATCCTGTCGACAATCTACTCTTACAGGTCGGGACCTGGCGCCAGGAATTTTGCACGACGATGGCCGACGAGGTGTTGGTGGAACTGCCAGTGCAGAATGGGAACGGCGTGGAAGGCAGGCACGTGGCCCTTGATACATGGGTGCGGGTGAAGACGTTCGACGACACCCCTGTGATCGAAGGCAGCGTGTATACGTTGGACCCAGTCTCTGGCTTCTTGGTCGTCAAGGGTGTGGACTCGACGCACTTGGTGCACATCGCAGCGGTCCAGAGCGTCGAGATCGTTGCGAAAGACGACGAGTCTTGGGAGTCGTCGCATTCGTCGCTCAATGGTCGATCATCCGTCCCGACATCGTCTGTGAGTGAGGGCAAGCTACGCAAACTGGAGCTGCAGAACCGAGAACTGGCCGAAAAGGCCCTCGCTTCGATCGGCAAGGACGTCACCCCCCTCGGACAGTCCATCTTTGACGTGCTGAGCAAGACGATGCCGTGCCATTGGGAAGGTCAACACATCCGCGTGATGGACGTTCTCATTCGTCCGCCGTACGACAGCCGGAGTTGTGCGTCGTCGGACCAAGTGATGCTGGATCGCATCAAGAAGATTTTGGACGCTTTGCATCGTAAGCTGGCCAAGCAATAATAGATTTACACAGGGTGGTGCCGTCGTGTGTGCTCGTTCTTCTATCGAGGTGTTGAGAAACAACATGGTTTGCGTGTTGTGTCCTTGTAACAAGGATTCCTTACGCCCTGCCCTACACATATTCGTCTGCGATACCGTCGCCGTTCACGACGGTGTAGTTGCCGTGATGCACCAGCGGCGGCGGCGCGCCTTTCGCCACCTTTCGGACGTCTCGCTCTAAATGATGCACGAGACTCGCCATCATATCTGCTTGGTCAGATGCCATCGGCGCTGCTTCAATGGATCGATTCACCAAGTCGATGTGAACGGTCATGGCGGATGCGACGGCAGCGGCGTCGTCGCGGGCCAACTTGTCTGCGTCAAAATGGGCATTCATATCATGCACAACCTACAGCAAAACACACATGACTTATGGGGCATGACGAAGTATATACGCACCGTTCGTTGGGAGAGGGAAGCATCGTTTGCAAGGAGTCGATCGCGGTGCTCACGCGCTTCGTGAGCATCTGGTCGCTCGTCCACATAATGCAGCAACACGCCGCAGGAAGCGCAGGCGGGGGAGCCGCCGTACTCGATGAGTCCGCATTCGAGGCAGTTGGTGATGGGACTGGCGTGGGGCAGACGGGGTTTGGGTGTGGCGTCAACAGCAGGTAGTGCGCCGGTAGCAGTTGGCACTACTTTCGGCCTACGTTCGTCGACGAGGCGAGCTGCGATTGTGTGTGCCACGGCGCTCTTGTCTTCGCCGATCATTTGAACCACAGCCTCATAGATATCCTCCTTGGACTCGATGGAATCAACAAAGGCCGCGATGTCCTGTGTCTCCGAGAACCCCAACGCATCGGCGAGCGACTTTTGCAGCCACGTTGCCATGTCAATTACTGGTACTAGTTATGTGGGACTGACCAGAAATGCTGCGATTGGATTGGTCAAAATAAAATTGATAAATTGTTTGATTGGTGGCTTCTTTCATCCAATCAAACGTAGCTTCGAAGATTTTAGTCACACAATTCAAATTGCGCGCGAAGGACATGACAAAGGAAGCCGACACCGCAGCCTCAAGGAAGGACGAATGAGCCAGAGCCCCAGTGAGGGGTCTCGAAGCATGAGCATGTATGTGGCGCTGTATAACGTTATGACGGAAAAGTCACACGTACTTCGTCATGACGCCACATAATGCTGCCAATCCTCCCTGACAGAAAGCATGCAACATGCCCACTCCAACGTCACTGGAGCGTACCATCCATGGAATATTGAAGGCGCTGCCGTTATTATCGAACACACCATTTAAGTAAGTGACGCATTCGATGTGTGCAGAATTCTGACATTCCCAACGATCTGTAGTAGGAAAGCACACACAAGTTGGGGCACAGCCTGTCAAGACAAAGATGTCACCAACGCAACGATACATTGAGCATGCCGACATATCCTTTTCTATCAGGGACGACTGTGAATGTGTATCCTTCGGTAGCCAAGAAACGTTCGACAGCTGGTCGCAGGCGCTGGTGGTGCGAATGGTGGCCCGACCCCGTGACGACGCAGATAGCTTCGCGCGTCTTGATGCTTGGGAGCAGCCACGCGAGCAACTCGACTGCCTCTACAACATGAAGGCCGTGGAGATCCACGATGCCGTCAACTTCGTATTGTGGGTTGCGTGCATTGAAGATGATGGTCGCGGCTTCGAAATGCGCTTGCTTCATCTCGGCGTTGAACTGTTGTCCTTGCCGCGACAAACTCTTGGCCGCCGCCTTGTTGTTGGCTCGAAATGCGCGGGTCGCGTTCATGAAGCATTGGTTACGAGCCAACGCCAAGTCCCGGGCGGTGGCGCGGGCTCGTTGGTATTGCACCGCCACTTGGTCGCCCGTTTCCACCCATTGCGTGATGGACATAGTCGATTTACCAGGTACGCTCGATTGCTTCTTATGTGTCTACGTCGCCAGAGCGGTTATTCCCACAAAGCTCGTAGGAAACTCGATATCGTACCAGATTGGCCGACGTGGCACTACCAAACCACGAATTGCTGCCTCCATAGGATGACGACGAAGTTGGCGCCATGGCCACCGCCCGTTTAAAGTTGAGCGACAACCCGTCGTCCGACACTGTCGTTGTCAATCCCCCAAGTGCGGGAAAGTTCCACTCGAGCGGCTCTTCGTCGTCGTGCTCGTCCGTGTCGGCAACAACCGACGACGAGTACTGAGACACTGCCACCGCGAACGAATGGGCAAACGCACACTCGTCCCCTTGCAAACACCCGCCTCTGATCCAGTACCGGCACGGGATCAAGTGCGTGTCGTGGAGAAACTGCCGAACGAGTGGGTGGATGAGATTGCAATAATGGATGGGTAGAAAGGAAAATGCAAGGACTAGATCGTACCCAGCAGTCGGCGCGGCGGCAGTCCCCTTGAAGGTAATGGCGACACACTTGCGCGTTGTTGCCCTTGGACAACTCCGAGTCGACAATGCCTTGCATGGTGGCCTAGTTTGTCCACACATAAGGATGCAAATGGAAGACGGAATATATAGGCAGATGCATCTACCTGCGCGCGATGCACGTTCAAATCCACTTCCTTGAGTAAATCCAACAACCGTTCCGGGTCCATCACAGGAAACACCAACAGCAGCTGCTCCACGAGCTACACGAATCAACATGATACACATCTCTCAAGAAACGAACGAAAGACGCGCACCTCATACGCGACAGACCAGTAAAACGCTTCTTCGTCATCCACGTCGAATTCAAACGCATCGTCGTCGGCGGCGCCGTCAGTGGTGCGTGCATCGGCGTGTGCCTCGTCCTATAGCATGGTGAGAAGTGTAGGTGACATGTACACGTACTCGTGGCACGAAAGATGACGCCGTGGCATTGAGTCGAGCAAACTCTTCCTCCTCCTTGGCAGCCGCGGCGGCGGCAACATCCACCACCGTTGGCGTGTCGTTCAACAGTGCAAGTTGCTGGGGATTCTTCATGTACAAGATCAGTTCGTCTACGAAATTCTCCGCTTGGGCCTAACCACGCCATGAGTCATCGTTGGGTATCGCAAGATGACGACGGCGGTCGATTGTCTCGGCATGTGTGTACCAACCTACCTGGTGCGAGTCGTCGAGCCATCCCATCAACAAGTCGAGGACTTCCTGGCGCTTCTCGTCTTCGTCGTCGTAGCTGGAGGTCGGACCGGTTTCCATGTCAAGCATTCCGAGGACGTACGGCGCAAACACACTGTCCACGCCCAAATGCGTCAACTGCTTGGCGGTCCATGCTTCCACGGCGGTCGTCATCGCACTGGGAGACTGCTGCTGCCTTTTCCACACTATTTGAAACTTTTGATAGTTGCAACATAAAGGTCGACGTCATCCGCTGAACGAAATAACATGAAATAGTGTAATCGTGTAATACAAATTACAGTAGTCATGTTATATTAATACTACCTCCGGACGGAAATAGACCTGACATTTGACAAAAATTGATGTAATTTCTGCAAATTTTCAAATTAGAAAAATCTGAAAATAGGTGCGCAATGGGTGCATCCAATTGGCCCGAATCTATAAAAATAAAGTTGCATCCAGTCGCGCACGTTGCAAAAGAATCACGATACTCAAGTCAAGATAAAAAATACGGATTCAGCCTAACTTATCCGAAAACAGGAATGATGATCTCTTTTCGCGTAGTACTGATTTCCCCCCGACTTCGTAACGGGTCAAAATCGATAATTTTTATAATCTTATACGAAGTACTGATTTCCCCCCGACTTCGTAACGGGTCAAAATCGACAATTTTTATAATCTTATACTTATCAAATCTAGAAGAGAGTTTTGAAAATTCAAATGTTGAAGCTAAAAGTTTTCAAGGATGTAGAGTCATTTGGGAAACATGAAGTCACGATTGTCCTTGGATGATAAGCATGCGCTCTATGTCGAGCATCTGCGAAACCCGAGTGCAACATATACAGAGCTGGCCGCATGGGCCGCCAACATGTTTACACTTAACACTACACCATCTAAGACTACGATTTGCAACGTCAATTAACGCCACACCATGCAGCATCAACGCGCGGACAGCAAGGCGTGATCAATCGACCGCGAGGTTACGATGCCTCATGTCGAACAAAAAATCCTTCAGTGGGTTCTTCGTTGCGAGGAGTTGGGGGTCTGTCTCACCGGCGAGCTGATCCGAAAGCAAGCGGTTGCTTTTTGCGACGAGCTCCAAGTCCCTATGTCCCGCCGCCTGGCATTCTCAAAAGGATGGTTATACAAATTCCAATGAAAACATGGCCTTACCTCCAAAATCCAGCACGGAGAGCCCACATCAACACCACCTGAGGCCGTCGCCGTCGGGTGTCAAGACATCCTAAATACAACAAGTGGTTTCAGTCCTCACGACTTGTACAATATGGATGAAACCTCCTTCTTTTACTGCCTCGCACCGCATCGATCGATTACCCGACACCGCGTACGTGGCACCAAGAAGTCAAAGAAGCGTATAACGCTTGCACTTATCACGAACGCCGATGGATCTGACGTTATTGACCCGTTGTTCATTGGCACCGCGGTGCAGCCACGATGTTTCAACCATCAAACTGGCCAGGAACTGGGCTTTGACTATCACGCGAGCAAGAAAGCTTGGATGAATGGGACTATTTTCAACACGTACCTGCATGCGTTGAATGACCGAATGGTCTCTGCGAACCGGAAGGTCTTGATGCTCGTGGACAACGCGCCACCCCACAAGCCTAAGGACGAAGCTCTGTTGACAAATGTGAGTCTGAAAATGCTACCTCCCAACACGACTGCTTACCTTCAGCCGCAAGATGCGGGCATTATCGTATCGTTCAAGGCAAAGGTCAAACAGCGGCAACTTCAAAATGCCCTAGACCAAATCGAAGAGGTAATGTCAGGGCGCCAGGACAAGTTGTATGAGGTACCTCTCATTGAGGCAATGGGATGGGCGAAAGATGCTTGTCGCTCTGTTGCGCCATCGACCGTCGCCAACTGTTGGAATCGAACTGGTATTCTTGACAATGACTTGGCTGCCTTTAGTGAGCACGTGGCAGCAATGAGTGTTGAGTAGAGGTCGTTTTTACTGGTTGTCATGGTTTGCTGGGATATTAAATACCTGTTAAATATTATATACTGTTAAAGTTGTATAAAAATTGCTGTTACGAAGTCGGGGGGAAATCAGTATACGTACAGAAGCATACGTCGGGTTCAAGCCAACGACGTTGTACACGGACCTTCCGGCACGAATTCGTGCGATACCACCACAACGTCGGACAACTCTCCAGTACATCGCGCACACAATCGGCATACCCGCGAGCACCCTTCAAGACTACTACAAACGCGGTCTCGTAGTAAAGTACAATCCCCACATTATACCTAAGCTAACCGATGTCAACAAAGTGGTCCACGTGAAATGGGCCATGGACTTCGTTCGTCCCGACAGCAACTTTCAGTTTGCCGACATATACGATTATGTCCACGTGGATGAGAAGTGGTTCCACGCGACAAAGGTCAAATCGCAAATGTACCTGCTCCCCGGCGAAATCCCACCCCACCGCTGAACCCAGATCAAGCGATGCATCACCAAAGTGATTTTCTTGTGGGATCAATGAAGAGGGCGACGAAGGAGTGTTGGTTTCTACGTAAGAATCAAATGAATTTGAGCTTGAGTATGCAAAGCCAATAATTAAATACAAAATTGTTTGTTTATTTAATTATATAGCTTTGATTATGGTTATGGATATTGATTTACTAAATTTATGGGGCCTTTGAAATATCAGGTCTATTTCCGTCGTTCAACGATTTTGAAATGTCAGGTCTATTTCCGTCCGGAGGTAGTACTAACGTTATTAATACTACGTACTTCGTAGTAAATAGCTGGGTAAATAATTAGTAGGAGTACGACTTACTTCAAGTACTACAGTAGTCCTGGAAGTACTGTAACCCATTGTCAAGGCAATAACCTATTTTGAATGAGATACAGTTTTCAGCTCAACAAAGTGAAACCTATAAATCATTTCCAATCGGAGGTAGTACAGTGCTTGGCGGAAAAACGCAGACAGAGTAGGACATGCATATTACTATAAGGGCCTGGTCTGTGAAAAATTGTTCCTGCTTTCAGCCATTCCTGCTTTGTACGGATAAATTTTATTCGGATAGTGCCCAATTACCTGGTCTGGGAAGCCATTCCTGCTTTTGGTGTTCCTGCTTTGAATCGTTGCGAGTGCCATGGATGGTTTGAGAGATGTTGTTGCCGCAGTTGCCGCGGTTGTGTGTGCTGTATGCATTTCTTTTGCTACCAGCTCGACCTCTTCGATGTACAACATTCTGACTATTACGAATGTCAACTTTGATGACATGCTTGGTGACCCTCGATATGAGCAATGGTTTCGTGACAACCTTCGTTGTGACCAACGAGCGTTCTGTAAGATAGTTGTGTGGCTTCGCCGTCGATTGCCAAAGTATTCCCGACGTCGTTCGGTCCACTCGTTTGAAAAAAAAGTTGCTGTATTTATCTATTTTTTGGGTTCTGAGGGAGGATACCGTGAAACCGCTGGTGTATTTGGTAAGGCTAGGTCGTGGTGTGTGACTGTGGTTTCGACTTTCGTCAATGTTGTCTCCTCTAATGCAAACAAATGGATTCATTTCCCTATGGACTCTCGTGCATGGCATCGTGTCGAACGTGGATTTTATAAAGTTCATAGAATTCCTGGTGTTGTTGGAGCTGTTGATGGCTCTCTGATTGATATACAGCGACCATTGGAGTATGATGGATTTTACAATCGAAATGGTGATCCCTCATTGAATGTGCAAGCGATTCTTGTCGCGAATGGTATTTATGTCTGTGGATATTCGTCCCGGTTCATTTTCCGACAAAAAGATTTGGAAAGTATCTGTAGTTGGTCAGACTATTCGACGACTTGTGCCGACTGGATGTTTTCTGCTTGGTGATTCTGGATACACGTTGCTTCCTTGGCTGTTAACGCCATTTTTGCCGCCGCATGGGGAAGGTGGAGTGTTGACAAAAGTTCAAAAACATTTCAATTTTAGATTGTCAAGTACTCGTATGGTTGTTGAATGTGCTTTTGGCCGTTTGAAAGAACGATTTAGAATTCTAAAAACAGTGATGAATGAAAAATCTCTCGAACAAACTGTTGCGGTCACTACATGTTTTGTGTTGCATAACATGTTAATTCATTTCAATGACGGACTCTTTTCTGAACCGTGCCCCCGGCGTGACAGAAATTTGTATTTTCAACCTGCTGATCCACGTGAAACTGAAACAAATCCTCTCATTCGCAAGACTGCAGTGTTGAAACGTCGTGGAATAGCTAGTATTTGAATTAACAGAAAAATACTTTGCAATCATCGTTACATTATTTGTTTGTTACTTGCGTGCAACCAAATGAGCAAGGAGTTGCGCCATAGTGTCAGATTCGCCCTGAATTGCACGCAATACATCGACTGGCTTCCAATGCCTCGCCTTGACTAGAGGCTTTCGTAACTTTTGCGTTGTTCTTGGACTCGAACCTTTTTGCCAAATGCGAGTTGTAACGGAGGCAAAAGAGTGTCGCCACACTCTCATCGCACCACTGGATAGAGCGTTTGGTCTCCGAGGACTTTCTCCTTGCGCTTGCCTGCCTTGGCCTTCGGGGTGGCAGCATCTATGGTTTTATGTGTGACGCATGATATGTATGTATGTGTTGCATCAACCTAGCACCATTTCTGCCGGCGGTTGGACCTCATGGCTGACTTGGTCGCACAAAAGCGTGCGAAAAGCAGGAATGACTGGTTACAGGCAGGGATGGAGAGTCCATGCTTTTCATGACACGAAAAGCAAGGAGTACATTCGGATTACGGATAATTGTAGCCAATCAAACTGATTTTGCAAAAGCAGGAATGGCCAAAAGCAGGAACAATTCGTTCGCAGACCAGTCTCTAAAGGGCACACATGGGTGATCAAATAAACGATTTCGGTTGGATGAAATTGATTCACTTTTATCGGCAAGATGGTCTGATTACGTTTCAAAACCCACCAATCACAAGAAAGGCAAATTCAAGTTCATGTTTTTGAACATGACTTTCAAAACGAAAAATGCCTCCGACCGAAGGGAAGCTCCAGCAGCGCCGATACACAAACAGTGATCGGAAAACCGTCATTGCTCAGTTTCACGCGTCTGGCTGCGCCAATGAACGGCAGTTCTGTCGGGGCGTTGGGATCCCCTACGGGACATGGCAAGGCTGGCGGCGCAAGGAGTCCCAGATCACATCCAGCACGCGCCACGGCCGCAAGGCCACGATGGGAGGACAAGGTCGCAAATCCAT